AGTCAGCATATTGCCCCCAACAACAATCCGGGTCCTCATTTTACCCACCTCGGAAAGATGGAAGGCTGAGTCAACCTTGAGCCGGTGAGATTTGAACAGCCGAACTGCAGAGCTGCAGTCAATAGCAATAGCAATAGCAATAGCAGTTAGACTTATATACCGCTTCATAGGGCTTTCAGCCCTCTCTAAGCGGTTTGCAGAGTCAGCATATTGCCCCCAACAACAATCCGGGTCCTCATTTTACCCACCTCGGAAGGATGGAAGGCTGAGTCAACCTTGAGCCGGTGAGATTTGAACAGCCGAACTGCAGAACTAACTAATCATTTGAGGCATCTATCCTCTTGATTTCACCTCTGTCTCATCCCCTGCTGAAGTACCCTAGACCCGTGATAGTGAACCTATGGCACAGGTGTCACAGGTGACACACGGAGCCCTCTCTGCATGCGTGCGAGCCTCTGCCCCAGTTCAGCTCTACTGCACATGTGTGTGTACCTCCCGCCAGCCAGCTTATTTTTGGTTCTCTGTCGTGCATGCGCAGGGGGCGGGGCGTATGCTGGAGATGTGTGTGCATGTGTGGGGGAAGAGGGGTCACATGCACATGTGCAGGGGGAAGGGAGGTGCGGCACGCGCCCCTCCCCACATATCCCATCTTTGATCCCAGGAGGCTTCAAGGAAGCCTGCTAGGCCCAAAATGGGCTGTGGGGGAGTCGTGCAAACATGTGCTGGTGAGTGGGGGGAACAAGGGGGTTTGCACATGTTGTGCAGGTGGGTGGGGTGCATGGGGGTGTCATGTGCATATTACATTATGGGTGTGGGCACGCACTCGTGCGCTGTCTCGCGCACATGCACACTTTTGGCATGTGATGGCAAAACATCACTGGTCTAGACAGTTGTTCAGTTTTCTGTTGGATAAAAGTGATCTTCTCTTTTGACTTTTGACACAAAGATTGTCATGTAGCCAATATAGAGGGAGTTGAAGACCAGTGTTAGGGTGACAATGCTTAGATGATGGGAACTAACTATTTGCTGTGGTAACTCAATGTCTGTGCCTGCTAAATGGTCACTCCAGGCCCATTTTAGTTTTTCTGAGAAGAAAGAACAGAAAAATAACAGATTTGGGAGACAAGACCAAATTCACATTCACATGTTCACACGTATGTGCACACTTGTTTGTTTGCCTTGTGATGGATTAAAGCTTTTGCTCAGATTTATTGGCTCACTTTTTCCATTCTTGTATTTAGAACCAGAGACAGGGAGTGGTCCAGTGGTGGGCTTCAAAATTTTTTAGAACCTCTTCTGTAGGTGTGGCCGGCTTTGGGGGAGTGGCTTGCCAGCCATGTGACCAGGTGGGAGTGGCTTGNTCCCTCCCTCTGTCTATCTCTATCTCTGCCCCTCTCTCTGTTTCTCTCTCTCTCTCTCCTTTCTTCTTCCTGCTTTCCTTCCTTCCTTCCCCTCTCTCTGCCTCTGTCTCTTTCTCTCTTTCCTTCCTTCTTTCTTTTCCCTTCCTTCCTCCCCCCTCTCTCTGTGTCCCTTTCTCTCTCTGCCCCCTGGGGGGGAAGGAACCCTTGAACTGGTTCTGGGTGGTGAGAATCTGATGTTTGGAGGCCGACGAGCTGCACATCGAAGACCAGTGGGGAGGCGGGGCAATCCCATGGTTTCCCCAAAAGTAACATCTCTTGTCTCATGAAACTTGAAGACTCAAGGCAGCATGAACGTTTGTGTTGTAGCCACAGAAGCTACTAAACAGCATGACACTCTCCCCTGATGGCCACCTGCTCACCTTCCCCTCCGCCTCAGGCCCTGCATCCAGCCCATGACTAGGGGACGCAGTGCTTCTGGGCTAGTCTAACCAGCGTGTGCGTGAGCGGGCAGCCGTCCTCCAGTCCAGTCCCCCTGCAGCACTCTACCGGCCCCATTGAGGCCCTGGGAGGTCTACATATGTCTCATTTTTGGCCAGCAGAGTGTTTCTGGAGGCTGGGGAGGCCAAAACAGCATGAAGACAGAGCTACTACCTTTTTAAGAAGTTGTTAGCAAGCAAATATGTCTGTTATTAGAACTGAAATAAAGTAGTCTGTGTAATTGATTAGGCATGGCTATGTGTATGGTGTATTTTCTCTCTAAAAAATGTCTGCATTTAATTCTTTATAAATTGTAGTGGAAAAAGAGAACAGAGGCACTAGTAGCTGAGTTCCCACACCATACAAAGTCAGAAACATTTTTATGTACTGTATGTTTGAATAAGTAATAATAGCCTGGTCCATGCAATACTAAACTGCAATGGATAGATTCAGTTACTATGTTAAGACGCATCATGGCTTAGCACAATTTAAATTTAAATGAGACTAAAGGAATGTAACTTAAGAGTATTTTGGCTTAATACACTTACTTTAGTTTTAAATCTAAAAACCATGGCCTCCCTTTTCAAAAAAGTAAATGTCTGAAAATGTCAATCCTATCCCCTCTATTGCATGACTGTTATATGTGCTGTGGACAGGAGATTTAAAATGAAAGATTGTCCTTCATGGACTGAATTAAATTCCTATGACTTACAAAGAAGCATATATAACCTAAATATATGGATTTTCTTCGAGAGAAAAATAGGAAAACAAGTCATTAATTATTTAGTGTGTCTTTTGCCATTGTGAATGCTTTTAGTCCATTGATTCAAGGAAGTAATAATGTAGAAATCTTAGAAATGTACAAGTAGTTCTTGATTTAACAACCATTCATTTAGCGATCATTTGAGGTAACAACAACACTGAAAAAAATGACTTGAAAATGGTTTTCACACTTGCAACCATTGCAGCATCCCCATGTTCATGTGATTAAAAATTAGAGATGTGGCAACTGCATGTATTTATGACAGTGGTAACATTCAGGATTCACATGATTGCTATTAATAATCTTCCTAGCTAACTTCCAACAAGCAAAGTTAATGGGAGAAGCCAGATTCACTTAAAGATGGCACGATTCACTTAACAGCTGCAATGATTGGCTTAGCAATCATGGCAAAAAATATATATGTAAAATTGGTGTGACTCTTTTAACAACTGCCTTGCTTGGTCCCAATTGGTGTCGTAAGCCAAGGACTACCTGTAAACAGTTGATCTTATTGGTGGTTATAGTGTTCTGCTCCAGAAAAAAAGAGCCAAGGTGGCACGATGATTAGAGTAGAGCACTGCAGGCTACTTTAGCTGATTGCTAGCTGCTGTTTGGCAGTTTGATTCTCACCAGGCTCAAGGTTGACTCACCCTTCCATCCTTCCGAGGTAGGTAAAATGAGGACCCAGATTGTTGGGAGCAATATTCTGACTCTGTAAACTGCTTAGAAAGGGCTGTAAAAAACACTATGAAGCGATATATAAGTCTAAGTGCTATTGCTTTTGCTAAATATGTTTGTGTATCAGTGTACATCTGCTAAGGCAAAAATAACCCCACAATTCTTGATGCTTTCTTATATTTAATAATTGAATTATAAATCTTTTACTTTGCATTTGGTGTTTCAAATACTTGCTTTATCGCAAAATGAGAAACTGGTTTCAGCATGGTCCTGAGGAGACTTGTCTTTCTCTTAAAGGTTTGGTTGCTTAAAGCTGCTTCAATGGACCACATTCACGGAGCTTGGAAGACTCTTCCTGATGGAATTGGATTAAAGGATTCTGTCTTCAATGGATCCAGCTGTATTTCACCTACCATTGTTGAACAATTTGGTTATCAGCGCAGAGCATCTGATGATGGGAAACTTTTAGATTCCTCCAAGACAAGTAATACTATTCGTGTTTTTTTGCCTAATAAGCAACGCACAGTGGTGAGTCTGTTTCTTGTTTTGGTCAAAATAAAAGATTCACTGTTTTTTCCCTACTCGTTCATAAACATTCCAGTGCCCCAGTAGTCTAAAAATGTTTAAATGTGAAGAGTCCAGAATGGATACACTGACATTTTGTTCAACATGTTTACTCAATACACACACACACACATACACACACACACACACACACACACACACACACACGAACACAAACACATAACCTTGGAAAGATTAGTGAGACTAGTGTAATTTCTCTGAATATATGTGTATCTTCTTTTTTGAGTAAGTCCTGCTAATGCATCCTTTCTGGACATTAGATGGTTTCTTGTGTTTTGCTCTTGGCTTGAAAGAGACTACTGAATTGAACCTCAAAGAATTTTAGACTTTTATCCACATTATGAATATATGTCTTAAACATCAGCAGCAAAAATCACATAAGCTTAGGCAAAGTAGCAAGAATTAAATAGATTCTTTTGTTAAATGGCTGACAAGCTTCAGGACTCATGGTGATGGTAATCTTGCACAGAATCTTAATTTTACCCATAGAAATTATTTTAAAAAGTGTTTCCCATCTGAATAGCATTCTTGCATTCTTCTCTGACTTCCTACTCTTTTTTTTCTTTTTTGACCAAATATGAAACAGTGATGGCATTCTCCAATCCTTCTCTGTTTGTATAGAATTTAACCTTAGGTTTAAAAATGCTTAAATTTGAGGTAGATTATGTACTGTAAAGAAGCCCAGTATAGATATAAAGCTGCTGGGCTGTCTACTGTGTTTTGCTTTTTTTTAAAAAAAGGCAGAAGCTATCATGTCTATTTTTCTTTTTCCTTGGTTGCCTTAATTATCTACATAATTGATTATCAAGATTAACAATTACCAGGTTTCCTCTCAATCAGAATTTAAAATTGTGGATTTGATAGGAAACCATGCTAACAATATTAATTCATAGAAATTGTATTTTGTCTATTCTATTATACAGCTTTACACAATTTGCAACAAGATACATAGATATAAAGTATTGGTTTAAAATAGCAGAATAACATAGTTGGAAGGGACCTTGTAATCCAAGTTGGAGATTTTGTAATCCAACCCCCAGCTCAAGCAGGAAACCCCTATGCCTTTTCAGGCTGTTAGCTCAATCTCTTTTTAAAAATCCTCAAGTGAGGAGCACCACAACTTCTGAAGGCAAGCCATTCCACTGATTAATTGTTCTGTCAGGGAATTTCTCCTTAGTGATTGTGAGGTTTTTTTAATTTATAGAGGGCTTGTGTTCCCATTCCTCCACCATTACTGTCCTAGTTCTTAACACAAAAGTCACATCCTGATTTTTTAATTTTTTTTGCCACAATGTCCATAATACAATCTCTTGGAGCTTTAAAATGTCTAAATGAGTGCTGGAGGCCCCAAAAGAGCAGAATAAATTCCAATGCAATAACAACTGTAATAAGCAACAAGAAGCAAGGGGTTAAATCAGTATATTANGGAGGGAGGGAGGGAGGGAGGGAGGGAGCCAGCAACTGACCCACACTGCCCTCTGCTGACACTTTCAGAGCATGGATGTTTGGCCACTTTCGGTGAAGAACCTGGTCGAAAGTGAGGAGCAACGCTGGGAAGATGAGGCTGGGAGAGGCATTTCTGCAAAGGAACTGAGTTTCTTTTGTTCTTTTCTTTCTTTCTTTTTCTTCTGTCTTCCTCCCTTCCCTCTCTTCTCTCCCTCTCCCTTCATTCTTTTCTTTCTTCCCTTCTTTCCTTTCCATCTCACCCTTCCTTCTCCTTTTTTCTTGTCTTTTTCTTCCTGCTTCTTCTGTTCCTTCCTTTTTCTTCCTTCCTCTCCTTTCCTTACTTTTATTTTTCCCCTCGTTTCCTTCCTCTCTTTCTTCTCCTCCCTCCCTGCCCCTTTTTCTTTTCCTTCCTTCTTCTGTATTTTCCTATTTTTTCTTCCTTCCTCTCCCATTTCCTCCTCCCTCCCTGCCCCCTTCCTTCCTTTCCCCCTATCCTTCTTTTCTTTTCCTCCCTTCCCCTTTTTCTTCCTTCTCTTTTCCTTCCTCCCTCTCTCCCCTCCTGTTTCCTTATTATTATATTTTACCTATTTTGTTCCAAACTCTGGGCAGCTCCCAATCAAAAGGTAACATAACCTACAGGGAGAAGGGGAGGGGAGGGAAGGGAAGGAATCATCCGTGGAACTGCTTGCCACCAGAAGTAGTGGGTGCTCCATCCCTGGAGGTTTTTAAGAAGAGACTGGACAGCCATTTGCCTGAAACGGTATTGGATCTGCTGCTCAGGCAGGGGGTCGGACTAGATGACCTCCAAGGGCCACTTCCAACTCTGCTTTTCTACCCCTTGCTAATAAACGAGGGCTGGAAAATCTTATTACAGTTTTGGCATGAAAATTTCTCTCAATTCTACATCTGGAATCAAATGCAGGGCAACCTTTGGCTGAGCGGCAACGGTTGAGGGGAACAAAACCCAGGAAAGCAGAAGATACGGAGAGAGATATAAGAAGCAGCCATCTCTTCCCTCTAACGATGCCCAGGTGTGAGAGAGTCGGACACTAAGAACAGCTGGTCGAAGAAGAATCGATGCTTTTTGGTGCTGCCTAAGTGGCCAGCTCTTCAGAGGTATCAAAGCAGACCCATCACTCCAAGCGAAAGAATCACAAGATCATCTCTGGTTTACTTTGGCCAGGCCACCCATGCAAATCCATGTCCACCATGCTAGGGACAGTTAGTGGGAGGAGGAGGAGGAGCAGGAGTAGAAACAAGAGGAGAAGGAAAAGAAGGGGGGAGGAGGAGGAGGAGGAGAAGGAGGAAGAGGAGGAGGAGGAGAAGAAGAAACAAAAGGAGAAGGAAAGGAGGAGGGGGAGGAAGAAGAAGAAGGAGGGGAGAAGGAGAAAGTTGAGGTGGAGAAGGATCAGAAGGAGAAGAAGAATGGGGGAAGAAAGAGGAGAGAAGGAGGACGAGGCGGAAGGATGAGAGGTAGCAAAAGGAGAAGGAGGTGGTAGGGAAGGATGGAAGGGAAAAGGAGGAGGAGGAGAAGAAGAAACAAAAGGAGAAGGAAAGGAGGA